TGATACAGTTCCTGATTCCCGTCCTAACGGGCTACTTCTGAGGGCCACTTCAGGTAACAACTGACTTAGCCTGGGTTCCCCGTGAAGCGGACATGGGACAAGGGCTTGCATATAGGTTGATTTTGGTAAAGTAATTCCAAACAGCAGTAAAGAACTAGGAACAGTAAAACGGGAAATGAGGGAAAGGCAATATAAGTTGTGTTTTGATTTGACCACTGCTGTGAGCAACTGGAGTGTGATCCTTTTAGGTGTCTTCTACGGAGCTGTGTGGAATCGACCTCCGAATTGTCAAACCAAGGGATGAAAGAGAGGAGTATTTATCCACCTATTCCCATCCTTCTTGGAAAAACAAATCTTGTATATTAACGCATATATGTGGAATCTGAAAAAATTGGTTTGGACGATCTTATTTACAAAGCAGAAATAGAGACACAGATGTAGAGAACAAACGTATGGATACTGAGGGGGAATGGGAGGGTGGGATTGGGAGATTGGGATTCACATATATACACTATTGATACCATGTATAAAATAGGTAACTAATGAGAACCTACTGTAGAGCACAGGGAACTCTACTCAATGCTCTGTGGTGACCTAAATGGGAAGGAAATCCAAAAAAGGGGATATATGGATACGTACAGCTGATTCACTTTGCTGGACAGTAGAAACTAACACAACATTGTAAAGCAACTATATGCCAATAAAAATTAAAAAAAACAACAAAAAAAAAGAGTTGTCCCATGAGGTGTTAGCCCCCTCTCACATCCAAGGTAGTTTACACTCGAGACTGGCTAAATATACTTATAGCCAGCCCAAGCTGAGGCAGCAGACAAGCCATGAGATGGGATGCTGTCAGTTCCCTGAGTCCGACTGGCTGCTGGAGTAAAATGTTAGGCTGAGAGGATGGGAGGTGGGTCAGGAGAGCTTCCTAATGCACAGTGGTGGTAAGTACCGAAATACAGTAATGTTAAACTCCTATGGAAACTTCAAAGGGCACGAGGAGATGAGCCTTGGGCTTTGAGGCATGAGCACAAGTGTTGAGGGCTTACTGTAATTGCTCCACCATTTGCATCCTCTCTCTTTTTAAATATCAGATTAATTAGTTATCAATACATTCACTATCTTCTGCCCTCAAAGCCTAACATTTTAAAAAGAAGGAAGAAAAGGAAGAGATAAACTTATTTTTTCTGTGGCAAAAGTTTTTTTAAGGTTGAAAAAGAAGTATTTGGGGGCTAAAAATAAAAGTATATTTCCCTCTGGACTGTGACTTAGTTTACTGGAGCTGAGAAAACACATGAGAAAGTACCTGAATAAATACATGCACAGTGTAATCTATTTACGTGGCGAGAAGAGAGGATCTGATAACTATAGTGAACAATTCACAACCCAGCAAGGAAATGCATTTATGCATATCTTAAACAAAGAAATGATATTCTTTCATGGTCCTAAAGTGGAAAAACAAATTTGAAACAGCTATTACAAACACCCACTCTCAAATACTAAGTTTCTATAGGGTGCATTGTTTGTATCTGACTAATGGATAAATTTTCCCTGAACTGCATGTTCCTTTCCAAAGAAAATGTTTAACATAATGTGTTTTTGCTTGCTTGGTATTAGAAGAAGGAAAATATTTCTTATCTAAAGAAAAGAAAGTCAAGAGATATTTTCAAAGCATCTAAACAGATAAAAAGAAGATACATATTAGGTTTCAGATAGCTCACAAAGTGCAACATCCAAATTCAATCTTTACTATGGTTTTGATTGTATCTAGGATATTTGTGCTTTACTTTGCTTAACTTTATTATAAAGTTATCGTTTATATCTGAACCTTTGATGCAGGTACTCCACATTCTCATTAACTCTTAGTATTGTCAGTCATTTCCAATTTTAGCCATCGTGTGAATTTTTAATTTTGGTTATTTAGTGGTATCTTGTTGTGTTGTTGTTTTTTTTTTGTTTGTTTGTTTTGCGGTATGCGGGCCTCTCACTGTTGTGGCCTCTCCCGTTGCGGAGCACAGGCTCCGGCCGCGCAGGCTCAGTGGCCATGGCTCACGGGTCCAGCCACTCCGCGGCATGTGGGATCTTCCCGGACCGGGGCACGAACCCGTGTCCCCTGCATCGGCAGGCGGACTCTCAACCACTGCGCCACCAGGGAAGCCCCTTGTTGTGGTTTTAGTTTCCATTTCCTTGGTGATAAGGGAAGTTGAGAACATTGCTATACTTTCTACTTATTGCCCTTTTATATATTTTCCTCTGTGAAGTGTCTGTTCAAGTCTTTTGCTCTTTAATTGGCTTGTCCTTTTATTACTGATTTGTAGGCATCCTTTATGTATTCTGGGAAGAGTCCTTTATCAGATATATCTATTTTAAATATTTTATCCCAATCTGTGGCTTGCCTCTTCACTATCTTTTTTTCCTAATTCTTTTTTTTAAATTGAGGTATAGTTGATGTACAATATTACATAAGTTTCAGGTGTACAACATAGTAATTCACAATTTTTAAGGTTATATTCCATTTGTTGTTATAAAATATTGGCTATATTCCCTGTGTTGCATAATATATCCTTTTAGCTTATTTATTTAATACATAGTAGTTTGTACCTCTTAATCTCCTACCCCTAACTTGATCCTCCCCCTTTCCTCTCCCCACTGGTAACCACTAGTTTGTTCTCTGTGAGTCTGTTCATTTTTTGTTATACAGTAAGTCACCCATATACCAATCTTCAAGTTGCAAACTTTCAAAGATGCAAACGTGCCCAGAGAAAGGACGAAGACAGACAGAGGAAGAAGTAACTGAAGAACCGAAGAGATTCATGATGCAGGAAATGACAAGGGGATTTTCTTTGTTTGAGGAGGCACTGTTATTTTTTGAGGCACAGGAACCGAATGTAGAACATTACACGAAGGTTGCAGCAGCCGTTCAGGATGCAGTCCAATGCTACCGTGTCATCTATGACGAGAAAAAAAGAGCTACTACCCAGACATCACTGGATCATTTTTTCAAGCAGGTAAATAGAATTGAGTCCAGCAAGGAACCAGAACCTGTGCCATCCATGTCAGGCATGAGTGAAATTGAAGCTTGCCCTCCGTCTCCTATTGCTGTCGATCCTTCAGCTCTACCATCTCCCACCTCCTCTCCTTCCTCCAATCAGTAACTCTTCTTGCCTGTTCACTCGATGCCAGCCCCTGTATGCCACCTGTTGTACTGTACTACTGTACTTTTCAAGGTACTGTACTGTAAGATTAAAAATGTTTTCTTTTTGTTTGTTATGTATTATTTGTGTGAAAAGTATTATAAACCTATTGCAGTACAGTACTATATAGCCAATTGTGTTAGTCGGGTACCTAAGCTAACTTCGTTGGATTTATGAACAAATTGGACTTATGAACACGCTCTCGGAACAGAACTCGTTCGTATATAGGGGACTTACAGTGTATTCACTAGTTTGTTTTATTTTTTAGATTCCACATATAAGTGATATCATACAGTATTTGTCTTTCTCTGACTTTTTTCACTAAGCATAATGCCCTCCAAGTCCATTAATGTCATTGCAAATGGCAAAATTTCCTTCTTTTTTAAGGCTGAGTAGTATTCAACTGTATATATGTACCACATCTTTATCCATTCATCTGTTGATGGACACTTAGGCCTGCTTCCATATCTTGGCAACTGTAAATAATGCTGCTATGAACATTGGGGTCCATGTACATTTTTGAATTACTGTTTCCATTTTTTTTCAGATATAGATACCCAGGGGTGGAATTGCTGGACTGCCTCTTTGCTTTCTTAAATGGAAGCTTTTGACAAACAGAAATTTTAAATTTTGATGAAGTTCAATTTCTCATTTTTTTTCTTTTTTAGTGATTTTTATGTCCTGTTTGAAAAAAATCTTTGTCTACCCTTGAATGTGAAGAGTTTTTCTAGAACTTTTTTCATTTCACCAGTCACATTTAGGTTAATTTTCCTGTAGGTTGTTAGGTAAGTTAATTTCTTTTCATGTTTTTCCAGTTATTCCAGCACAATTTGTTGAAAAGACTACCCTTTCCCTTTGTCAAAAACCAATTGACTATATGTAGTTCTTTTTCTGGTTTCTCTATTCTGTTCCATTGATATATTTGTCTAAATCTATGCAAGGTCATATTTTCTTCATTATTGAAGCTCAATAAGTCTTAAAGTCAGGTAGTACAAGTCCTCCAACTTTGTACTTTTTCAAAATTGTTTTGGCTATTTCAGGTCCTTTGCATTTCCATATAAAATTTGAATCAACATGTCAATTTCTACCAAAAAAAAAGCCTTCTGGATTTTTTTAAATGGGATTGCATTGAATCTATAGATTGATTTGTGGAAACAAATTAGGCAGTTTATATTTTCTCTTTATAAAGAAATCTGTAGGTAGCAGTCCAGATATGACATGTTACTCTATTGTGCTGTTTGGAACCCAGGCTCCTTTATCTTGCTACTGAGCTATTCTTGGGTTGTCTCCTCATTAACACAATGGAGCAAGCATGTTACCTCGGGTATCAATTCTATAATTCAGGAAAAAGGGAGAGGGAAGGCAAAGGACAAAAGGTACATGGCAGCAGAGTCCTTCATCTGTGAGGCATCTTTTCTTGAAGGCCCATCTAACACTGTATACGTAAATCTCGTTGACCTAAACTGTTTTACAGTGCCATTTCTACCTGGAAAGGAATATGAGTAAATGTAGTTTTTGAGAAAATCCCCTAAAAATTCAAGCTATATAAGAGTTAGCAAAGAAGAAGAGGAAAAACTATATCGCTGGGTAGGCAACTAGGTATCTGTACAAGTAATAAAGGTTCTTCTTCTGTAAGACTGCTAATCTCTGAGTTAAGAATGGTGGTAAAGGACCAGGTTTGGTGGAGAAGTTCATAGATAATCTACTAGATGGCTTCAAGCTATGAATTATAACACAAAAATTGAAAATTATGGACCAGGAGTGTTTGATGTTTGTAAAATAAAATGAAGACATTTTGACATCTTGTTTAACAGCATTAAGAAAATGTCATTTATTTGCAAATGAAAGCAGAATCTGTTGGCCGAATTCAAGATTACTTCATTCCACTTTCTTCTACAGAAGAAAAGTAGTCATAAGACAGGAAATACAGCTAATTAAATAGCACATGTATTTTAATAATGCCTTAACAGATGTGCACCTCCTGTTCAACTGAAATATGTCATTGTTTTCTATTCATTTCAAAAATGGACAGAGGAGTCTGAGTAAAGAATTATTATACACTACTATGGAGTTCAAAAATGTACAAATAAGATGTTCAGTCATAAGCTGGCTGAGGTTTAGGGGAGTGGGAAGAGAAATACTGATTTTGGTTGACAGAGTCTGGGATATGTGGGTTGATGGTGCTGCAAGGCAGATGGTAGAGCCCCTTGGCATGATGGCTCCTGGACTAAGTGACTCCAAGAAACATTTTCACTTTATAGATAAAATCATACATGAACTTTCTACTTTCTTGTTAATTCATACACAATTTGCCACAGAGATACTACATACTTTCACTGACCTCTATGAAATATTTATTGTTGAAATGTGTTCATGGTGTCTTGAAAGAGATTATACTTATTATTAGTTTACCTTAAAAGGTATAGAGAAGAAATGATTGATGTGGTCATCTACTATACTCCTACACATCAGGTTTCTCTATTAGCCACAGGTCTGACTCTGGTTGTTTCCACTCTTCTCCAAGCAGTGTGTTAAAACTGAAAGGCTTGAAGTATTCCAGATGATGGCTAAATGCAAAGAAAAAGCTGGCTGGAATTGAAATGAATTATGCATTTATGAAAAAGCTGTCCTGAAGGGCTATTGATTTTGTTATATCTGTTATAGGACATTCTATTTTAAGAATATCAAAGGTAAGATGTATTCTACATGTACAGTTTTCTCACTCTAGCAATCATTCAACTCTGAAAATATTCACCCATATCTGAAAGCACTCTCCTTTCAGTTCTGCAGATAGCTCCCTCACAGCTGAAGGGAGAAATAAAAACCAACCCTGAAAACCTGACTCATTCCTTCTAGCCTTAAACAAATCATATTATACTCTTACAGATGTTTTCATATTCAAACTTTGATGATTTATATCAGTTATGTAAATAACTGTTTTTTTTAAAGGTTTCAGCTCAACAGATTAAAGAACAGACTCCTTTGCCAAAGCAAGGCAGGTTTATGTAAAAGAGGGTTAATTCTAGTTCTTTTCTTTCTAGGAAAACCATTTAACCATTAGGAAGCTTTCTATTGTGGTTTAATGAGAGAAAGGTTAGCTAACGTGCTGCAATGGAACTCTGCTCTGTAGGAAATCACTCTGCCCTAGCCAATGGCATAATCATACTTTTACCTAGAGTAAGCCTCCGATAACCTATACATAGGAAGCCTGAATACAGGAATACATTAGCTTGTGAAGAGCCAGAGAAACATGCCATCTTGATATGTGAGCCCTGGGTGAGTTACATCTAGATTCCTGTCCTACTCTGTCCATCTGACCTACTCTGTCCATCTTAGTCAACCCAGATTAAGCAGTTAAGAAAACGACAGTGAAGGATAAGAGAAAGAAAGGGAGAAAGAGGCTTTTCCTAGAAAAGCAAGGGGAAAAGGGAAAAATGCATCTGGCAGAATAAAGGAATAAGCTAGAAGAGATAAAAAGTCAAGTACAGCGGAGTAAGAGCACGACAGGAAGGGCAAGGGAGAAGGAGAACAGTGCAGCACTTTCCAAGGGTGAAAAGGCAGCGAAATCTGTGTACCAGATTACAAAGCCCACTACGATGTCTCTGTTAGGCTTTTCTAAATACGCAGACTCACAGACTATGTTGGCCACTTGAGTACGCGCTATAGCTGTAGTGCGGGAATCTCAGCTTGCCCCAGGACAGAGGCTGGCTTTCCTCCCTGAGCTGGTAGTGTTTGCAGCAGTCCATGAAGGCTGGCCAGGGCTACATTCTCCTTAAGTGACAGCTTCAGGTGCAAAGAGATCAGACTCAAAATGGGAAAGCATAGGAGATCTCCTGGCTTGTATGCCCGCTGTCCAACAGGAGACCGTATTTCTTGCAATAACTCCCTAGGTATAGCTTCCAGGGTCCCCACAGAGAACATTACTGTTAAAGGGAAATCCCAAAGCTGTGCTGTCTCCATCTATGCTGCCTAGAAATAGAGCTGACATTTTTATCCTCATGAGGTTACCAGGAGAAGAGAACTAGAGAGTTGACTTAATGTCAGATTCTCAAGCAGCAAGGGGAAAGGATTTGCTCTTTGCAAAACCCTTTGCTCACACCAGGAAAAACAGATGCCTCTGGCCATTTCGCTCTGAAAGGGATCATAAATAAACTTACAACCACACTTCTATGCCAGTTGTAGTAATACTCACTAAGCAAGACTTTTCTCACACTGCCATGGAAATCTAAGTGCTCTACTGACAGCAGTGAGAGAGACTATGTTTGTCCAAAGTCAGTCTGCCAGATACTCACTGAAGACCATCAGGACACATAGAACTCTACTTGGTGCTTTTACATGTGTCTTCTTTGACCAAAAAATGTTACTACTACTCTACCAAGAATTAATTTTTTAAAAACTGTTATAGTTGGGACATATTTTCTACTTACAAATCAGGTTTTTGTCCTTGCTGCAGCTCATGTGGAAGTACAGGGTAAAGAGCTTCATAGCTTCTTTTATCTTTTGATCCATGAATTGCAAATGAATTGAATTTTGTCACATTTGGTGGAAAATAACTCCAAGGAAGATAAGCTCTACCTTCCCATTTTGTCTCTCCTCTGGACGCTTTGAATGATAGATCAAGTTCTTGCTACAGAAACAACATGTGAAACACAAAAGGTAAATTCATATTTATAGTAATATTTAAATATGTATATATTAACATTAAAAAATCTATCTATCTTATACACTTAAGGATTTTGTCTCATATTTTTATTTACTTACTTTCCACACATTTCTTTTTCCAGAGAGTAAAAGCACCAAATGCTGTCCATGGCTGTCAAAATTAAAATTCTTCATGAGTGTTTGAAATAAACAATATTTTCTTCACTATCCTTCATATCTGCCATGTGTATGTTTGTAACTAAATTTCCAAATAATTAGAAGATGCAATATGAATATTGGATAATTACAGGGACAGCCAGCGTGTTCAGTTACTTAAAAATGGCTTCTTTGAGTTTAACACTTTCCAGGCAATTGCCGTCAAATGCATAAAGCTACACATGTTCAGACTCCTTTTTATATTCTTTAAATAGGAAACTATATGAAATACTTCAATTGGTTAGATGCTCCAAAGTATGCAAAAGGGGCGGGGTATCTGGAGTTCATAATAAAACTCGTTCCAAAAATGAAAGTATCCTAAGGGAAGCTGGCACCAATTTCCAGGTCAAAATCCAACAAACATATTAAAGGTTATTTCTATAAGAAAACTGTCTTGAAGCTCATTAGGAAGATGGAAGATAAAAATATAGATTGTCTAAAACTACTTAACAGGTTGAAGACTTTAATTTGTAACTATTTTCTCATACAACTGTCCTCGACCTATCTGCCTGCTGTGTTTTCCTGCTTTCAACCATTAGTTCTGACACTGATGTCACATCTTCAAGGAGAAGCACAACATACTCCCAAAAGAAAATTCTAATAAGAGAGCATAGTTGGGATTATCCATGTCAGTCAGAATCAAAGGATTTCAAATAGTTACATGAAGCAAATTTACGGTCTCTGGAAAAGACTGTATCTAAACATTTTGACACAGATGGTCTGTTGGGAGCTTTTCAGGAAGGATTTCCTTCAAGAAACTAGTCTAACAGAAAACAAGTATTCTTTTCCACTTAAAAGTTCTCTGCTTCCTTTTATTGTTATTATGCAACCTTAAGAATACCCTAAGAACAATAAAAGTTCTTAAAAATTCAAACAAACATATTCAAGTTGCTTTCCTAGAGGTTAACTGTCACAGGAGTTGATTGCCTGAAGCAAAACCATGATTCTTGATTATTAACTGTCCTGATGTATCTAAAAACAAACTTTTAGAATTTATTAATTTTATACATTATGGTTATTGAATAATTTCCTAACAAAAGATAATCTAATTATCTGATGTATCTTATGCTAAGTCATCACTTCATAAAAATAAACTGATATTATCATCTAAAAATTTAAACTAAGAATGTAACTTTAGAATTCTAGCAGATTCAAGTTCTTGACTATCTTCTAGACAAGTTGTAAACCTATTTGCCTTAGCTTCCTCACGTGTATGGTGAAATTTTCTTACCTCACATTACAGTTTATGAGAATTAATCATATTTTTCAATAAAAGATTTTGGCATGTTAGTTGAAGGGTAACAAAGATATACAATTACTCTTCTGAAAAATATAATTGTGAACAGCTATATTTTCCACACTAGCATTAGCAAGAAATCAAAATAAGGGAAAAGAAAATGATATCTAAAATCTCATTGAAATCAATTGTTTGGGACTCTGCTCAGTCTACAAAAGGACAAAGGCTACTAGATAACAGATGCTGAGAAGTATTTAAATGTCATTTTAAATGAGTAATGGAAATATAAAGAAATATTTCATTACTAAATATTAACTTAAAATTTCTTATAATTTAGATAACAGGTAGGTATAGATTTACTTTTTGACTTCTACAGGAAAAAAACTGCCAACCAGGTAGAGAGTTCCCAAGGACCAGTTAAATTTGTACAAAAAGAGTCCAAGGTTAATATTTTTCGTAAGTCTAGGAAAAGCCATGTGTGATTTAGTTTTTATCCTTGGCACTGAACATAAAGTGACATAGTATACACTCAGTAAATGAACGATAAATAAAGGAAGGAATACATGAATACATAATTATGTAATATATAAAATTAAAGTTTAATCTAGTTATTAAAAGAATCCCCTAAAAGAAACATTTTCATAAAGTAGTTCACTTCGTTATATCTATATGCCTCCCTTTATTTCTAAATAGTTAATATATAATAATGCAAATTTAGAGTAAATAATGAATATGCCTCTCTTTATTTCTAAATAGCTAATATATAACAATGCAAATTTACAGAGTAAATAATGAAAGAGTTTTATACTAATTTTTCATTTTGCAAAAACACCTTCAAATTTATTAGAAAACCAACTACATTAGTGAATTGAAAATAGTATCAACATAATATTTTTAAAACCTTATATATTCTACATTATACATTTACTTGAAAATAAGGAATTATATATAATTCAGATTAATTCAAATTAGCATTCTGACTAGTTAACTAGAATTAGTGAGCTTTTACTATATCCATGATTTATAATTAGAAAATAATGTGTTCAAAATATGTAGTAGTGAGTTAGAAGAAATATTTTATACTTACGGACAAAGTTCAACTTCTAAATACTGTTCAGTTACGTCATTCAAGAAAAATGCTTCCACAACTTTTGAAAACAGAGATATGACATATTGAGAAACTTAATTTTGCTTCAATAATAAATAATTTGTTTATACCTTTAGAATATAAAGTGAATCAATGCATTATTTTTAATTAAAGCTATATCACCACTAGGAAAAGGGGAAAATAAAATAAATAGACATTGCCTGGAAGAAAAAAGTACATAGAAAATAAATCATCATTTTTCCCCCATATCAGATTGCCATAAAATAAAAATATTAATGAAGCCTAGTGCTGGTGAGGTTGTAAAGAAATGAACATATCACACAGACTCTGAGCTAGTTATCTTCTTCTAGGAATTTATCCTAAGGAAATAATCACACAACTGAAAAAGAAGTTAGATGCTATTCATCAAAGTACAGTATTACTCAAAAAGAAATGGTCTAAATTGTTATCTCCTGTTATGTAAATAAATATCCTATTATATAGGAGACCTGTTAAATAAATTATGGAATCTGTGTATTCCATGTAATAGAATATAATGCAGTCATTAAAATAAAATATACAGTTAAATATTTTTTGATACAGGAAGATATCCATGATATTTGGTAAGTAGGCTGCAGAGCAATAACCAAATGCACATGAAACAAAAATGTGCACATATGCCTGTGCCTAGATGCCTGCAAAACATGCACAAGAATGTTATGGTTGGTTATCTCTGACAGGTGGAATACAGGTTGAGTGATTTCTCTTTATAATTTCCTGAAATTTTCTGAGCATGTTTATTTAAAAAACTGTATAATTATAAAAGTGACACGTTTCTTTTAAATTATTAAAAGAACATAAACATATATCTAAGTAAAAAGTCAAAGTCCTTTTCTTCCCACTTTGCTCTAAAACCTATCAGACTTCTTCTGTCCTTCCATAATCTATTTTACCTGCATAGATTAAAAAAATATATATGGAATCATTTTCTGATTACAACTTGCTTTTTTCACACACACACACACACACACACACACACACACAAACTGTACAGCATATAGATACCTAATTCTTTTTAATTACTGCATAGTATTCTTCTATAGAATGTTATGATTTATTCACATAATTCTTTATTGATAGACATTTAGGTTGTTTCTAGTTTTCCATGTGTTATTTTTATAATAATAAGATATAGATATAGCCCCATCCACAACTCAGAGTCTTACTGTTCCTTTTGAAGTCTTTTACCTATGGCAAGGATGGTAGGATGAAGAAGAGATAATAAATGAGAGAAACATTTAGGAGGTGAAACTGACAGGACTTAACAAATAAATCCAAATATGGAGATTGAGAGAGAAGGATATCTTGGAAAGATCTCACATTTCTACATTTGGTGATTCGATGTATTATAGTGCTATTGATTGAGATTGGGCAATTAGTGAAAGAAGCAAGTTTATGAGAGAAGTGGATGAGTTGAGTTTAGGACTTGTTGAGTTTGGTGTCTATAGTACCTCCAGTAGATAACTCACATTAGTGTGTACACCAACAGGAAGCTGGTATATACAAGTTCTAGAACAATAAAAGACAACATATGTTTAACATATGATAGATTAACACTGACAAAATGCATACTATATAGATTGTACAGAGAAAGTAGATGTTAGTATGGACTAGAAGAGTCATCAAAGGTTTCTTTGAAGAAATGAAACCTGAATTAGACCTTGAACGATGTGCATTAGAGGCAGGGGGACTCGAATGAGAAAAGGTACATGAGTGAGAATATGCACGCATGAGACTATCAGCCTTTTGGAAGTCAAGAACTTTTGGTTTAATTTGATAGCTTGATTCAGGAGTACCCTGGAAGCTTATGGGAAGGGTTTGAACCTTATCTTAGGGACAGGAATGATTTGTAATCTAGGAAATGGCATCATAAAGATTATTTAAGAAAGATAAGTTTGGTGGCTTAATTAGGATTCATTAGAAGGTGATCATACAGCAAACCTGAAACTGGAATTTCATGGCCGGTCTTTTAGCCCTCACTTAATGTGTGAGATTACTTGCCAGTATAAAATAAAAACTACATTTCATGTTTAAGTTAATGGTGTTTTCATAATAAGTGAAACACCCCAAAGCTTCCATAAAGAAGGTTTATAAGGTTAAAGTGGCAATTTGAAGATACTCAAAAACAAAACAAATGCTGAACTCAGAATAGGTAACAGAAGTAAAGGAAGGAAATATAGCAGCAATTAAAAAATCTGGATTTGTAATTGCCATTTTTCACTGTTCTAGTTATATAGTCGAAGTCACATAGGTAACGTGAAAAAGTCAAGAGTGCGAGATTGGTAGGAAATATCAGAAACTGCACATGTCAGTTGCTCAGAAGCACTCACTTCCTTACAGCAAGATAAAATAATAGTTCTATGAAAGGTTATTATAAAAAGATTTATGTCTGCAATAAAATACAGGACTTCCACTTACCTTCATAATCCCACAGTTCATTGAAAGGCTTTCCTGGTTCTCCTAGTGGGGCTGGAGGATCATTGAAAAATGGAGCACTGACTTCCATCATCACTCCTCTATCACCTGGATTCAGCCTGACAAACACTGGCTCATGCTTCACTGGAAAACCATCCCAAGTGTGTTCAATTTTAAAATCCATTTGAAGACTCTAATGGGAAAAAATATTAAAAAAAAAAAACCTCTTTAACAATTTACAAATGTTTCCTTTAGAAAGAAATGAAATGAAAATTTCAAAGCCAAATTTCAAAGGTAGGAAGGCAGCAGAGTGACAAGAACAAGGTTCTGAGAGTCAAAAGGCCATTTGTGTTATGGTAAATCATGGACATGGAGTTCTATTATAAAATAGGTAGTTGGATCCTAAAAGCTTTAAGACTTTAAGTCTAGATCCACCTCGAGTTACCTACTAAAAAGTGTATCAAAATAGTTTTTAAGAACTGTAATTAAATCCACTGCAAACTGTTCATGTATTTAACAACTCTAAGCACTATGAGTTTATATGCCATCCTTTGTCTTATTGTAAAATGTGCAGATGAATTACTGGATCCCCTGGGAATCAAGATCTTTATAGTAAAATTCAATTTGATTTTTCAAAATCTCTGTAAATGAGTGTAAGCATTGCTGTTAGCACCTGTTCTTTTGGCTAAAACTTTTCTTTTTGGGGTGGGAGTGGAGGGGTCTTCAACCATTTGAAGGCAGGCAGAGTTTAATATTGTCTTCCCTAGTCTCAGGGTATGGTTTTTCTTAGCCTTTTCAATTTTTGATATTTCAAGTGTTAAATGACCATTTGCTTGGTTAATCCCTTTTCTCCAACTGAAATATGGGAACAAAATCTGCTATCATTTAAACTATGAAATAGACTAAGTACATCTGATGCAAGCAGTACTTGCATTTTAAATTGTTACTCTAAGGATTAAATGGAAGGACACAGTATTATATTAATAAAATTATGTTTTGTTGAACACTATGGATCAAACACTTTATAAACATTATCTCATTTAATTTCACAAAAACTTGTAGAGGAACTATTATTATCCTCATTACAAACAAAGAAACAGACTTGTCCAAGGTCAAATAGCTAATAAATCAAGAAATAAATCAAGAAACTGAACCAATGTCAGCCATGCTTTCCCAGACTTTGGTACTGAAAACCTAAGTCTTTCTACTGGTTCTTTCTGCCTTTTTCTCCTAAGATTTCTTTGAATATTGCCTGGAAATTACTGCAAGAAATATCAGCTAGACTTCCACTAGTAGGGAAGAGTGCCATGGCTGACATGCCCAAGGGTAGAATGTAATTTTGGCTTTTTGCATAAAATGACCTTAGTTTCTTATCAGAACAACAAATTTATTAATTTGCTTAAAGAACACTCACGTCAATCTAAGCATGCATAATATAACAAAATCAACCTCAAAATTATAGGCCTGCTCCCTAGTTCACAATCTAATCTAAAGATGATATGGACCCAGACAGAGACAATTGATTTTCAGCTCCCTTGGGACACTTAGGATTGTGGAGGCTTTACCCCCACCACCTTTCAATTTTCATTGTTTGCACACGTGCTCATATGAAGTAGAGACAATTCGTTTATTAATGTCTTTTACAAACTGGGCTAGTGGGCATCCATGCAGCATTCCATTCCCTGCCACTCTCTGTTGCCCATACACTGCTGTTTTGATTCACAGCACTTACATTACATGACATATTGTACTTGTTTTATTTTCTCCGCATCCCTAGCTAGAATGCCTGTACGTAACAGGAACTTATTATTTATTTGTGGAGTGAATAACTGTTCTAGTCTCTGGATCTAAAATTTCATGATTCTAAGATTTTATGCAGGAGAAATCAACTGTTAGTGGTATCACTACCTCTTTCAACACTATATACTAGAACAATGGCAAATAACTAAGATAAGACATCATATCTAGAAACTTCCTTTCAAATTAGTTTATCAAAGGTTTATTAGCTACTCACTCTGTTTCAGGCACCATAGCAGGTGCTGGAGAAATAAAGTGTAAGAAAGTCTGTGGGGAGTTGGGGATGATTCTCACGTAGCTAATCAACCAGGACTCATGTCCTAACCGACCAGATCCATTAGCAGTTGGTTCATTTTGCACTCCAATTTAATAAAGTTGGATCCCTACACCAAATTAAGCTTTAAATGAATCAATGATATAAACATAAAAATCAAACCAAATAAAATCAAGAAAGTAAAAATCGGGAGGTTGTTTTTAAAAGATGATCTTAGAGCAGAAAAAGCCTTTTAAGATATAATCCCAAACCCAGAAGACATTAAAAAACAAACACTGATATATTTGGCTATATAAACATTTTTTAAGAAAAGCAAAAATCTGCCTTCCTCCACCAAAAAAACCCATTACAAAATCAAAGACAGTTTGGGAAAAAATACCTGCAACTCATAGTTCAGACAAATAACTAAATTCTTTAATGTTTAAAGGGCTCCTAGAAATCAATAATGAAAAGATCACCACAACAAAAAAATGGGTAAAGATATGAATAGTCAGCTCACAGAAAGAAAATGCAAAATGTTCAGTTTCATTAATAATGATAGAAATGCAAATTAAACAACAATAAATTACTATTTTCCCCTTAGATTGTCAAGAATCAGAAAGTTTGATAAAATGCTGTGATAATGAGGACGCTGAGAAACAATCAGTATATTGCTGTCGGGGCATAATTTGCACAGACTGTCAAGAGCAATCCCTCAATATCTATCAAAATAAAAAATGCAAATGACCTCTGACTCAACAATTCTAGTTCTACGAGTTATTACACCTGTATACATTCAAAAAGACATAAGTTATAAAGATATCTACTGTAGTATTGTTTAGAATAACAAAATATTATAAGCAACTTAAATACCTATCAGTAGAGAACTAGTAAATAAATTATGCTATATCTTACAAGGAAATACCACACAGCAGTTAAAACGAGTGAGGCAGCTCTATATATACAACTAAAATATATTAGGTGAAAAAAGCAAGGTGCAAAAAGTACACATTTACTTAATAAAAAGGAAGAATATTTGCATACATGCTTGTGAATGCATATACTATCTCAGGAAGCATATACAAGAAACCAGTGTGGCAGTGGTTGCCTCTTTGGAGGGGATTATCTGCCTGAGAAAGCTGAGGAAGCAAGATTTACTTTCAACTGTATCCGTTTTTTTAAAATCTATTTGAAGCTTATACTATGATAGACATGCATTTATTCAAAAATAAATTATTAAAAATGTTTTAAAGTCTAATTTTAAGCTGGATCTCTCAAACATTATAGTGACGACCTCTTTTCTCCCTTATGTTACATATGCTGAACATTTCTAAAAAGTCAGAATGAATATTAGGAATATTATTAAAAGAATATATTCATTCAAGGTGAACACCATTCTATTATACAATTTTTATGTTGGCTGTGTAAACTTTCTTAAAAAGAATGTTTATTATTAATCTGTACTTTTCCACATTTTAACTTCTATTCTTCAAATTATTCTTTCATCAAAAAAAGTCGAAAATGATTATTTTCATGTTTTACTTGTACTATGGGAAGACCTTTAAAAGGAAGTGAAGGAAGAAAAAGGAGACGGAACCCCGGAGCATTAAGAGCCTAGAGAGCAAAAAAAAAAAAAAAAAAAAACCACAAAGGTTAAAAGAAGGAAGTTATGGAAAATACGTTCTCTCAACTGAACGTTTTGTGAGGAAAATTTCCAAATATTCTATTCACGAACGTTTGTTTTCAGTTTTCTACAAAACGATTTTTTTTTTTTTTCAGTTTGCATCTTCCCCGCCCCCACTCCCCGTCTCCCGCGTCCATTTAAGAGAGAAACGGAGAAAGGAGGAAGTTAGCCCGAAAGTGGGAGGAAACTGTGCCGCCAGAAGCAGCTGAAAAATAAGTTGCAAGAGAAAAAGCCAACAAGACTAGGAGAAGGTGGGAGGAACGACAGAGTGGAGAAAGCATTGACAAGGAGGGAACACAGACCGGGAGTCTCTTCTCGGGCCACCACTCGCTCGCTCCCTGCGGCCGAGGTCAAAAGACCTGCGGCTCCGCCCCGCTGCCCGCACGCTCTAGGGGAGGGACTTGGCGGACTGAAGCACAGAGACCTGTTGAAGGACCACCGCTGGTCCTTAAAGTCTGAAGACTTAAAAGTCTGAAGACTTTTAATCGTTCCACAGAAGTTTGAGCGGTTTTCTAGAGGAAGAAGGAAGGGTAACTCAGCAATATTTAAAATTGTTGCACAATTTAAAAATCAACTGTAAATCATAAGATTACAATAGAACACGTCTGGCAATAATTCACTTAATGTAACTAAAGGCTAACTGGCTATATAAGCAAAAATTGTAAATTATATTACACTAGCTGTAAATAATATTATCCTAGCTGCAAATTATATTATCCTATTGGGAGGTATAAACATAGTGGTCAACGATTCTAACATTGGCACCAGACTGCCTGGGTTCAAATCGAAATTCAGGCACTTTCCAACTGCGATCATCAGCAAGTTATTGTAAAAGGGATTTAAAAATAGCAACTACCTTACAAGGTTCTGTGAGGATTAAATGAGTTAATATACATATATTTAGAACAGTGCCTAGGGCATAGTAAGTACTAAAAAAAGATTATTATTATTAAAGTATATAGGTTTGCCTAAAGAAAACATTTATCTGTTCAAATCATTAAAATTACCTGTTTTTGAGGTGGTTTTCTTATAGAAAACTAGACTCTCAGACAGGATAGTCTGACCCTTGAGATCATGGAATATGGTTAAGTGCTCTAGAGATATGGTTCTGGTTGCTTCAGTCTTAACTAGCCCAGCAGTTTCAGCATCTATCAGCCTATTTTCTTTTTTAAATAGATCTTTATTGGAGTATAATTGCTTCACAATACTGTGTTAGTTTCTGTTGTACACCAAAGTGAATCAGCCATATGCATACATATGTCCCCATATCCCCTCCCTCCTGAGCCTCCCTACCATCCTCCCTATCCCACCCCTCTAGGTCATCGCAAAGCATGGAGCTGATCTCCCTGTGCTATGCGGCTGCTTTCCACTAGCTATCTATTTTACATTTGGTAGTGTGTATATGTCCATGCTACTCTCACTTCGCCCCAGCTTCCCCCTCCCATCCCGTGTCCTCAAGTTCATTCTCTATGTCTACATCTTTATTCCTGCCCTGCAACTAGGTTCATCAGTACCATTTATTTTTTTTTAAGATTCCATATATATGTGTTAGCATATGGTATTTGTTTTTCTCTTTCTGTATGACAGACTCTAGGTCCACCCACCTCACTACCAATAACTCAATTTTGTTTCTTTTTATGGCTGAGTAATATTCCATTGTATGTATGTACCACATCTTCTTTATCCATTCAGCTGTCGATGGACATTTCAGTTGGTTCCATGTCCTGTCTATTGCAAATAGTGCTGCAATGAACATTGTGGTACATGTCTCTTTTTGAATTATGATTTTCTCAGGGTATATGCCCAGTAGTGGGATTGCTGGGTCATATGGTAGTTCTATTTTTAAGGAAACTCCATACTGTTTTCCATAGTGGTTTTATCAATATACATTCCCACCAACAGTGCAGGAGGGTTCCCTTTTCACCACACCCTTTTCAGCATTTATTATTTCTAGATTTTTTGATAATGGCCATTCTGACCGGCATGAGGTGAGACCTCATGGTACTTTTGTTTTGCATTTCTCTAATAATTAGTGATGTTGAGCATCTTTTCATGTGCCTCTTGGCCATCTGTATGTCTTCCTTGGTGAAAAATCCATTTAGGTCTTCTGCCCATTTCTTAATTGGATTGTTTGTTTTTTTTGATATTGAGCTCCATGAGCTGTTTGTATATTTTGGAGATTAATCCTTTGTCTGTTGTTTCATTTGCAAATATTTTCTCCCATTCTGAGGGTTGGTTTTTGGTCCTATTTATGGTTTCCTTTGCTGTGCAAAAGCTTTTAAGTTTAATTAAGTCCCATTTGTTTATTTTTGTTTTTATTTCCATTACTCTAGGAGGTGGGTCAAACAAGATCTTGCTGTGGTTTATGTCAAAGGGTGTTTCTCCTATGTTTCCCTCTAAGAGTTTTATAGTGTCTGGTCTTAAATTTAGGTCTTTAATCCATTTGGAGTTTATTTTTGTGTATGGTGTTAGGCAGTGTTCTTCATTCTTTTACATGTAGCTGTCCAGTTTTCCCAGCACCACTTAGCCTATTTTCTTATTGTCTCTTTCACCCAAGGCAATGTGAAATTATTGTTTCTTTATAGGATAATAAATTAATAACTAAATCATGTATAAAGTATTAAACTTCTCACAAAAAGATAATAACTTAAAGAATTACAATGCTTCCAAATGGAATTGCTCTGTGTCCTAGTTGCTGAGAGTTACCAAAACTTTAATAGGATCTATGGGTTTAATTCAGCAAGGAGTCACTACACCTGAGTGTCACAGCTACTCTGAGAAGAGCACGCATATTCTACAGGTTTAAGTAAAGTTACTGTAATTTTCTCCCAGTCTGCAAGAGCAGATATCACACTGGGGTGTTGCCATTATTCAGATATTTTCAGTTAAAATATTAAGCTAAGCCATATGAAATTTTGGAAAAAATCAACAATTTCACATGGTTCAGCCTAAATATATTCTGCTTATTACATACTTTAAAAAACTTTCTTGGGGGAAAAACAACTTTTGTGTTTAACAGAATGATTATTTTTGTTTTATAAAAATCACTTTTGGTGGGAGAGGGAAATGGGGAGTTGTTGTTCCATAGGTACAGAGTTTCAGTCATGCAAGATGAAACCGTTCTAGAGATCTGCTGTACAGCAATGTGCATAGAGTTAACAATACTGTGCCTGACACTTTAAAAATTAAGAGTAGATTTCATGTTATGTATTTTTTACTACAATAATTATAATAATAAAAAGATAAGCTTAAAAAGAGAGATTGAATTTCTAGGCCATCCTTCTCTTGGTTGGTCAAATAAACATAATTATTAAGAGTTTTTAAAAAATCACTTTTTATGGCATTTAATAATATCAGACAATGTTAAAAAGAAGTTTTGATCCTAGCTTAAACTTCCAACTTTGTATTCTTCATGATGCTTTCCCCACAGTACTTGGTACCCAATGTCAATTTACTGCATACATTAATATTAGTGAAATCTATTAATTTTTAGGGCTTTCCTTATTGCAGAAATATATCAATATAAAAAACATGAATTAGTGACTAGATAATGGTTAAACACATACTAAGTACTTTTCTCTCCTTCTCATTCCTTGTACTCAATTACGGTAATAGATACTTCCTATGCACACACATTCTTTAAATTAATTCCTTCATCAGATACTTATTAAGTGCTCATTGTGTTCCAGGTGCTATGATGGAGCCTGGAGTCAAACTACAAAACAATATGATAGACACTGCAGGAAGCAGCATGAGGTAAGTACAAAGGAAGCACCTACCTTGGGGTAAGTGGGTAGAGAACAGAAGGGAAGCTTTAAGAAGGAAGAACACTAGAGTGGATAAAGATAAGTGAAATCATAGCAACTTTGTTTCTTACAGATGAAAATTATTTTGAAAGTACTTCATTAAAATTCAACCAGTAAAAATCTTGTAACCAAAAAAAAAAAAAAGCCACCAAGAAACAAACCACCACACCTCAAAACTGAAAAACTATATAGTTTCTATTGACCTTGACCATCTAGGCCAAATAATTCAAGTACAGAGATAAAAACTCCAATTTTGGATATTTAATTTTTGCAATGTGAAGACCACCTCATCATTTACATCCAGAAAGTACTGTTTGCTTTCACCCATACTAATATCTTATCAACTTCTAGTGTAAATGTAGAGTTAAGTTTATGACTACTTGTTTGGTGCCAAGTTAAATCACCCTATGACAGTATGCAAGGTTCAAATGTAGGGGAAGATACAAACAAGTCGTTGGGGAGTCAGAGAGACATTCCTGAAGAAAAAGCCACACACTGACTTCGAAAAAGAGTTGGGAGTTTGCACTTTCAATTTTTCCTTCCAACAAGTTTTTGTGTTAACTTCATGGCCACTAAAAACCAGATCAAGTTCAATCTTCACTAACTCAAAGCTAAATTAAAGTTTTTATAGTTATTAGATGTGCCTCCATATGTAACAACCAGTCTTTAGGGGAAGGTCTATCTCATTCTCTTAATAGTGAGTATGGAGAAAACCTGTAACAGGACTTCGACTACCTAACTGGATACAGCTGGACGCATTTAAAAAATTTCTTAATACATTCTGCTAACATTACTTTGTTTATATAACACTATAAGTACAAACAACAAAAACTTCTTAAACTGTTAAAAAGAAAGCTAAATCGACTACTTCTACCTGTCTATTTAGAAACTTTACCTCAACCCATAAAAACACATATTTGATTAAAAAGCACTAAAACTGGTGGCTGGCTTCAAGTTAACGTTTTGATTGCTGGGATTGAAATTTCCTCTAATGTTAACTTTTAAAAATAATGATGAGCTTTAAATCCAGACATAATCATTTTTTAAAGATGGGGATTGTAATCGGTATACAAATGTAAAGTTTTACCTCATTATTTCTTGCAAAAAATGTGAATTTGTCTTTCCATCTTTTTTTGAGGAATCAAAGTTATCTCTAAAGAAATAACTGCTGAATTTGCAGGATCTTTGGAGTACTTCTAACTACATGTCTTATTGCCACGCGGTTAACTAAACAACAGCTGTGTCCTTTCTCCAAAGACCCACGTACTTAGTTCCTGGGGATTACCAAATTCATACCCAGAATCCTCCACAGCTTTGGAGGTAGACTCTGAAGACGCCAGTCTGGGTTCAGACCGCAGACGCAGAAACCTACGTGCTTTCCAACCATCCGCTCTGGCCAGCGAGTTCTCCCAGTCCGGAAGTGTTAGGTAACAAAGATACGGGGGCATTTAAAATATGTAGTTAATGCCCTATGTTTACATTTTTGGGGTTTTCTTTTTTAAAAAGGAATAAAAGAAAAAAACAAAAAAAACCGCTGGGCCCAGCCATCCTAGGACACGGGCCTAGCAGCTTATCCGCCGCCACACAGGTGGCTCAGCCGGCTGTCACCCAGGTTTCCACAGCTCCGCCCATCGCTTGACAGACAACCAATAGCGTGAGAGAACTCCAGGAAGCGCGATTACGTAAACGCAGACGTCTGCGTGATGACGCAGGCGGCGTCACCGTCTCCAAGGAGCGGTCTGGGGCACCGGTTTCAAAGTCGCAGGGCGGGCCGAGTGGACTTCCGCTGCTCTGCCCGGGCTTCTCGGCAGTCCTGCAGTCGCTCCCCGCTCCATCAAGGACGCCGCCACCCGGCTGCCCGCCAGCTCTCTCGGCGCTCTCCTGAGTGGCCCAACACGACCCCGACTGACCCGCGGGACGCCTGTACATCCCTGGTCCCACCTGGCTGGGATTCGGGTGAACGCGGGACAGAATTCACCTGGCGGGTCCCCAGCAAACCTGAAATCTTGTGTCTCGCTTGAGCGAGGGACTCGGCTGGGACTCGGGAGAAGGAGGTGCGGCGGGGCTGTTGACGCCACGTGAGTAGGATGCTGATTACACCGCTCAATTGGTAGACAACCTCCGAAGCGTTGCTTTAGATCTGTTTTCCCGCACAGCGAGCTTTGTGCCTTTTTAGGAAAAGTAAAGGTGGTGAAAGCGTCAAACAAATTGTATCCAAATGGCCACAGAAATCGACTTTCTGCGAGATCAGAGTAAGCTCCACATTCCTTTATCTAGAATTCTTACATGTAATGTTTAATGTCGTCATCGTTGACTAGTATTTTCTGAATGCCTGTTGGGTGCATGGAAATTTGTAAAAACTTAAAAGAAGATAGCTGCAGAAAAAGCTTGATGGTGTATATGAGGATATGTATACATTTCAGCAGAACCGTTTAGTAAATACTGTTAGGTTCCTTAAGCTTATGTGGGACTCTGCTACATGCGTTTTTGTTATGCTCCTCGCATGCTCTGGAGAAATTAGAGGGCTAATGGCCAGGAAGAGTTTCCAAGTCTGCAGTTAGAACCTAGAGAGACAGCTCTGGCCATTTGTTCAAAAGATGTTCATTGAGCTCCTCCTGTTTCTATTATGTGCCAGGCGCTATACCAGCATAGCTATTACAAAGATGAGGAAGACTGTTCTACCCTCAAGAATTTAATTTGAGGAGACAAGTATATAAATTCCATAAATACACTGAAGTGGCAGCAACTGACAACTCTTTTGCCTCAATTTCCTCACTTGAATGAGGAAATCATTTGAATCATTTGAATCATTGTTCAAATGAGTAAATGACCGTTAAAATATGAATAGGATTTAGAATAGTATCTGACATAGTGCTAAACAAATATTAACTCTTACACGGTTATAATTTACTGTGGTCAAGGAAGGTGCCATTTGGGCTGAAACTTGAAGCAGTAATATAAATTTACTAGATAAAGAACTGTGTAGTCGAGTAGAACAGTATTTACAACATTGAAGGGATTAGGAATATACTTTGTTAGAAACTTTTAAGAAGGTTGGTTTGAATGGAATATGATGTATATAGGGAAATGGCAAATGGAGCTGAAAGGAAAGAATTTGGCTAGATAGTAAAGGACCTTGTTTGCTGTGTGTTTAGGAGTTTGGACCATTGCACAGGTTATAGGAATCACTGAAAGGAATTCAGTTGGGAGTAACCTGATCAGATTGTGATTTATTTGAAAAGCCCAGTTGGCTGTTATGAGGAACATGCATTATAGCAGAGTGCAGTTAGGCAATTGTTGTCATTATCCAGGTAAGAAGTGAACTAAGATAGGTTCAGTGAGATTGGAGATGAAGGGATTTGGAAGAAAGAGGTACAGGGTAACTCAGGTTTTTGGCTTGCTTGAGCAATGGAGAAAGTAGGAAAAAAGTGGTACATTCCGTTTTGGAAGCATCATAGACCAGTGGTTGAGAACTCAGCCTCTGGATTCAGTCTGTCTGGGCTCATATTTTAGCTCTCTTTCTAGGTCTTTGACTTTGGGCAAGTTACTTAGCTTCACTATACCTCAATTTTTTCATTTGTAAAATGGGTATAATAGCACAATAACCCTCATGGGGTTGTTGTGAGGATTAAATGAGATGATGCAAATAAAGCACTTAGCATGGTGTCTAGCACATTTTAAGTGCACAGTTCATATTACCTAAAATCATTAATGACATTATAATGATACTATAACATTAGCATTATTTCTTAGGTTTGAAGTGGGAATATCCCTTATCCCATAAGGAGGACTAGCTGGCCACCATCTGAGTGGTGTGGGACAAGAATTGGTGTTGAGTAGTTTGGTTGGGGTGGGGAGAGTTCCTGAGGCACTCATAAACTATGAGTTTTAGAGGAATTCACCAGCAACAATTCTTAAATAAAACTGAAGTCCAAATACCAGAGAGAACAATAGAAGCATAGTAAATTATTTCTTGAAAAATGAGTTCACCAGAAGACAAGGGCATGGAAGAAGGGAATCCTCAGACAGAGGGAGAAGAAGCAGCAAAGGCTCGGAGGCTTGAAATAACTACTTATTCAGGAAATTGGAGCATGGAATGGTAGGGTTTGCATGAAGAGATGAGAAGGAGTGTTAGACGTCTGTGAACCTCCCCTTTTTTCCTATAACTGGACCTCACATGCCAGGTATAGCTGGTGGGTGACCCCATTAGTTGACCAGCTGAACACCAGTTCAGGTAAATGTAGAAAGCTTACCCTTTTCCCACTTACCTCTGACCTTATCGTCATTGCCTTCTGTTGATTTTGGCTTCCTTTCATTTGTCCTAGCATATTTGCCGTACACCATTCTTCTACCTCCATCTGATAAAGGAGACATGATAGTCCTTAAGGACCTGTTCAAAGAGGGACTTGTATATTCTTGCCTCCTTTGTCAAAGATAAGGTGACCATATGTGCGTGGGTTTATCTCTGGGCTTTCTATCCTGGTCTATTGATCTATATTTCTGTTTTTGTGCTAGTACCATACTGTCTTTTTTTTTTTTTTTAACATCTTTGTTGGGGTATAATTGCTTTACAATGGTGTGTTAGTTTCTGCTTTATAACAAAGTGAATCAGTTATACATATACATATGTTCCCATATCTATTCCCTCTTGCATCTTCCTCCCTCCCACCCTCCCTATCCCACCCCTCCAGGCAGTCACAAATCACCGAGCTGATATCCCTGTGCTATGCGGCTGCTTCCCCCTAGCTATCTACCTTACGTTTTGTAGTGTATATATGTCCATGCCTCTCTCGCTTTGTCACAGCTCACCCTTCCCCCTCCCCATATCCTCAAGTCAGTTCTCCAGTAGGTCTGCGTCTTTATTCCTGTGTTACCCCTAGGTTCTTCATGACATTTTTTTCCTTAAATTCCATATATATGTGTTAGCATACGGTATTTGTGTCTCTCTTTCTGACTTACTTCACTCTGTATGACAGACTCTAGGTCTATCCACCTCATTACAAATAGCTCAATTTCATTTCTTTTCATGGCTGAGTAATATCCCATTGTATATATGTGCCACATTTTCTTTATCCATTCATCCGATGATGGGCACTTAGGTTGTTTCCATCTCCTGGCTATTGTAAATAGAGCTGCAATGAACATTTTGGTACATGACTCTTTTTGAATTATGGTTTTCTCAGGGTATATGCCCAGTAGTGGGATTGCTGGGTCATATGGTAGTTCTATTTGTAGTTTTTTTTAAGGAACCTGCATACTGTCCTCCATAGTGGCTGTACCAATTCACATTCCCACCAGCAGTACAGGAGTGTTCCCTTTTCTCCACACCCTCTCCAGCATTTATTGTTTCTAGATATTTTGATGATGGCCATTCTGACTGGTGTGAGATGATATCTCATTGTAGTTTTGATTTGCATTTCTCTAATGATTAATAATGTTGAGCATTCTTTCATGTGTTTGTTGGCAGTCTGTATATCTTCTATGGAGAAATGTCTATTTAGGTCTTCTGCCCATTTTTGTATTGGGTTGTTTGTTTTTTTGTTATTGAGCTGCATGAACTGCTTGTAAATTTTGGAGATTAATCCTTTGTCAGTTGCTTCATTTGCAAATATTTTCTCCCATTCTGAGGGTTGTCTTTTGGTCTTGTTTATGGTTTCCTTGGTTGTGCAAAAGCTTTTAAGTTTCATTAGGTCCCATTTGTTTATTTTTATTTCCATTTCTCTAGGAGGTGGGTCAAAAAGGATCTTGCTGTGATGTATGTCATAGAGTGTTCTGCCTATGTTTTCCTCTAAGAGTTTGATAGTTTCTGGCCTTACATTTAGGTCTTTAATCCATTTTGAGCTTATTTTTCTGTATGGTGTTAGGGAGTGATCTAATCTCATACTTTTACATGTACCTGTCCAGTTTTCCCAGCACCATTTATTAAAGAGGCTGTCCTTTCTCCACTGTATATTCCTGCCTCCTTTATCACAGATAAGGTGACCATATGTGTGTGGGTTTATCTCTGGGCTCTCTATCCTGTTCCATTGATCTATCTTTCTGTTTTTGTGCCAGTACCATACTGTCTTGATTACTGTAGCTTTGTAGTGTAGCCTGAAGTCAGGGATCCTGATTCCTCCAGCTCTGTTTTTCTTTCTCAAGATTGCTTTGGCTATTCGGGGTTTTTTGTGTTTCCATACAAATTGTGAAATTTTTTGTTCTAGTTCTGTGAAAAATGCCAGTGATAGTTTCATAGGGATTGCATTGAATCTGTAGATTGCTTTGGGTAGTATAGTCATTTTCACAATGTTGATTCTTCCAATCCAAAAACATGGTATATCTCTCCATCTATTTGTATCAACTTTAATTTCTTTCATCAGTGTCTTATAATTTTCTGCATACAGGTCTTTGTCTCCTTAGGTAGGTTTATTCATAGATACTTTATTCTTTTTGTTGCAATGGTAAATGGGAGTGTTTTCTTAATTTCACTTTCAGATTTTTCATCATGAGTGTATAGGAATGCTAGAAATTTCTGTGCATTTATTTTTTATCCTGCTACTTTACCAAATTCATTGATTAGCTCTAGTAGTTTTCTGGTAGCATCTTTAGGATTCTCTATGTATAGTATCATGTTATCTACAAACAGTGACAGCTTTACTTCTTCTTTTCCGATTTGGATTCCTTTTATTTCTTTTTCTTCTCTGATTACTGTGGCTAAAACTTCCAAAACTATGTTGAATAATAGTGGTGAGAGTGGGCACCCTTGTCTTGTTCCTGATCTTAGTGGAAATGGTTTCAGTTTTTCACCATTGAGGACGATTATGTTTTCACCATTGAGACCTTTATTTTGTTGAGGAAAGTTCCCACTATGCCTACTTTCTGGAGGGTTTTAATCATGAATGGGTGTTGAATTTTGTCAAAAGCTTTCTCTGCATCTATTGAGGTGATCATATGGTATTTCTCCTTCAGTTTGTTAATATGGTGTATCACATTGATTGATTTGCAAATATTGAAGAATCCTTGCATTCTTGGGATAAAGCCCACTTGATCATTGTGTATGATCCTTTCAATGTGCTGTTGGATTCTGTTTGCTAGTATTTTGTTGAGGATTTTTGCATCTACGGTTCATCAGTGACATTGGCCTGTGGTTTTCTTTCTTTGTGATATCTTTGTCTGGTTTTGATATCAGGGTGATGGTGGCCTCGTAGAATGAGTTTGGGAGTGTTCCTCCGTCTGCTATATTTTGGAAGAGTTTGAGATAGGTGTTAGCTCT